ACTGGCCACGGTTCCCCATTACTGATCAATGGGAGCTGCAGGAGTGGTGTCTGCAGGCAAGGGCAGCATGTGGAGACCCCCCTGCTCTGCCTCTCTCAGCAGCTGCAGGGACATGCCAGCCACATCAAGAAGCAGCAATTACCATGGGGATAATTACTCGAGCCATGATAAGTTAGGCTCCCTCCATCCCCTTCTCTCTGTATGGGGACAGGGTACAGAAGTGGGAACACCCTGACATCATTCCCCCCTCTTTTTCCTCCCACACTCTGCACAGCAAGCGGAAGGCTCCCGGGGGACAGCTCCAAGGCAGAGGGCAGGAGCAGCATGACAGTGGGTGGAGGGATAACTGAAGTGCCAGCACTTGGTAGCTTCCAGGCCAAACCTATCAGGATCACCTGTCAGAGGCTCCAAGATCTACCGGTAGATCCTGATCTACTGGTTGGTGACCACTGGTCTATGCAAAATACATCGACTATTTGATTAGTCAGTTAGCCACAATTTAACACCCCTAATCTTTGAGTCATTGTGGATGTGTCTGTTCAGCAGCAGTCAAAAACCAAATAGAATCATTAAAAAAAGTATAGAGAATAAGACAGAGAACGTCTTATTGCCTCTCTGCAAATGCATGGTACGCCTATATTTTGAATACTGTGCACAGATGTGGTTGGCTCATCTCAAAAAATATATCTTGGTATTGAAAAAAGTTCAGAAAAGGGCAACAGAAATAATTAGGGGTATGGAACAGCTGCCATATGAGGAGAGATTAATAAAACTGGGACTTTTCATCTTGGAAAAAAGTCAACTAAGGGGAAATATGAGAAAGGTCTATAAAATTGTAGCTGAAACAGAAAAATGAATCAACCATAACACAAGTACTAGGGGGCATCAAATGAAATTAGTAGGTAGCAGAGAATGGGTGACAGGGGATGGATCACTTGATGATTACCTGTTCTGTTCATTCTTTCCGGGGCACCTGGTATTGGCCACTGTCTGCAGACAGAATTCTGGGCTAGATGGATCTTTGATCTCACGCAGAATGGCTGGTCTTAAGTTCTTAGAAAGCAGTCCATTGCGTTAACTGCAAAACTTCTTCCATTTGCTATCAGCAGAGAATGGGTGACAGGGGATGGATCACTTGATGATTACCTGTTCTGTTCATTCTTTCCGGGGCACCTGGTATTGGCCACTGTCTGCAGACAGAATTCTGGGCTAGATGGATCTTTGATCTCACGCAGAATGGCTGGTCTTAAGTTCTTAGAAAGCAGTCCATTGCGTTAACTGCAAAACTTCTTCCATTTGCTATCCCATTACTAATCCTCCCCCATCATCCAACCCTGAACAGTTCTGAGGGTATATCTACACTACAAAGTTAATTCGAATTAACAGACGTTAGTTCGAATTAACTTTGATAGGCGCTACACAGGCAAACCGCTAGTTCGAACTTAATTCGAACTAGCGGAGCGCTTAATTCGAACTAGGTAAACCTCATTCTACGAGGACTAATGCCTAGTTCGAATTAAGCAGTTCGAATTAAGGGCTGTGTGGCCACTTAATTCGAACTAGTGGGAGGCTAGCCCTCCCCAGCTTTCCCTGGTGGCCACTCTGGGCACCACCAGGGAAACTC